TGTTTTCAGTGGCTGGTTCTTTGGAAGCGGATCTCCAAACCTTTCTTCCAAGGTACCTGTGAATGGACATGAACCTTCAACCATTTTCACTACAGAGCAACTTTAAGAAGCTCCTCACGTGGAATCTCCTCCAATACAGAAGTCAATATTCCAGGGTACGATAGATATGTGGGGAGGTCACGTGGAGCTCTGTAGTGTTTTTGCAATTTCCTGAGAATCTGTCATTATTTCAGAATAAAGTTTTAGAAGGTCGTTTCAAAATGAAGAGTCGAAACGTTGCTGTAGAGCTTAGTTTGCACAATTGTTGTTAGGTATTGCGGAGTTGGTTCCGGGTCAGTTCATCTGTCAGTTGCTATCGGTTGCGGCAGTTGCTATGGGTTATTGAGGTTGCTATGGGGTGTGCTCCTAGGGCGGCTGAAGTTTACGGCCATGTGGTCTTTGGCGCCCCCTTCTGGACCAAGTGAGAACTGTTGCCTCAGGTGTATAGAAAGGTTTTCCGAGTTCCCGGATTACCTGACGGAATCGAGTCCTCACATCGACGCTGGGGCTAGCTGGGAGCTTCGCGGTGTCTTCCAGCTGCCGTGGATTGAACAGTCTCTCCTAAATATGTGTTACAATCTGAAAGGTCTGCAGTTCGAATCCACCAGCCGCTCAGTGGGCGAAAAAGGCTTTCTGTTTCGGTCAAGATTTACAGCCTCGGAAATCCTATGTAGGGTCGCTGTAAATCCAAATTGGCTTGAAGGCAGTGGGTTATATATGTGTAAATATGGTAGGCCAAAGAAGAGTTGATGCCTTTGAATTATGGTGTTGGAAAAGAATGTTGAACTGAAAGAATATTGAATTGTCTTTATTCAAGGCGATGTAGGATAAATCACAGGAACATGAGGTTGGGTTGAACCACAGGTTGGCGGTTCAAATGCACCAGCTATTCCTCGGAAACCCTATACAGGGTCACTATGGGTCAGAACCGACTCGACGGCACTTCACAACATCGTATTCAATTTGAATATTCAAGAAACACGAATATTGAATAAAGATGGTAGCGTAGTGGTTACGAATTGGGCTGAGAACCTTAAGGTCAGCGGTTCGAAACTACCAGCTGCTCCGCGGGAGAAAGATGAGGCTTTCTACTCCCGTAAAGAT